AAAAGGGTTGCCAGATTCCTCCATCAGACTGAACCCAACAACATTTGGACATTAAATCCAGTTGTATTAGTGTCAAAATTGAAAGGCTGGGAAGCTGTCTATGAACACACAGAAGCTCCTGTTTGGACTCAACTTTTAGCTGCTGACCCCGAGCCAAGTCCTGCTGTCTAATGCTATCTGCAGTTTTCTGCACACTACTACAACACTGACTTCCTTTTGTCTCACCATACTTGCAGTGCTTGTACCTATCACAAAAAGATAATAAGAAAAGCACACAAAAGATGATTTTTTTCATTGTCTTCAAAGTGTGAGGTGTCCCTGCTCATGGCAGAGGGGTTGGAACTGGGTGATCCTTGTGGGCCCTTCCAACCCTGACAGATTCTGATCTGTTTTAGCAGAGGACTTTAGAGCCCTAATGGCTCAATGGTTGGACTTGATGATCTTGAAGGTCCCTTCCAACCTAAAGGATTCTATGATTCTAATGACGTTCAATATGTTTTGGCTACTGTCCCATTGCATTTTAAAATGAGAAAGTTTTGACCAGGTTCATGGTTTTGTATCTACTGAGCAGCAACATTTAAGTAGAGCAAGTGGAAAGTTTTCAGAGAGTTCCTTTCCCCTGGTCGTACAGTAATGTTTGTTGATTCCAACCAAGACTGGTCAAATTCAACTGTCAAATACTTGCAACCATCTGATCAAGTATACATTTCAAACAGGAGATTATTCAATTCCTTATTGAAGAACTTAAAACAACAACACTGAGAAAAATCACAAATAATTCTTGAGTTATCTGTGATTACAAAAAAAAAGTTTTGAAATAAATTCTTTGACCCGAATTCTAGATCCGTGTACCCAATGATACACTTACACAATCCAATTTGCAGATCATCATCCATTTTCTTGTACTATTCTTTTGGCTTCACAGACTTCCTCAAAAGCCTCAGTTCTCCTTCACTAGCTAAATAAAAAACACTTTGCTGAAAAATTTTGTTTGGAAGAAGCATGCAGTATAGCTCTTTTCCCATCCTATGCATTACTTCATTGCATTTCTACACATTAATTTGATTTATTACAGTACTGTCTTCTGATGTTAGAGAAGAGGTGCACTCGAGGGACATGAACCAGACACACCGAGTTTCTCACAAGCACCGTATGCATGTTCAATATCTTATTAAGGGAGATTAGAGGCACTGCTAGGTGGGAGCAGACAGACACCTAACAATGACAAAGCAATGAGATTATACTACAGTCTTCTCATTCCCCTTCACCTGTGCTAACTGCTGCAAGTCACAAATTAGAGATGCCAGCTACTCCATAAAAATGCTGTATATAGTATGTGCCCCATGGAGGCCCCTTCATTACAGACACCCTACATTAAGCTGTTTAAGAAACAAAAAGTAACTTCTGTACCCCTAGACCAAGCAGGAGTAAGTGTGTTACATGACTGAAATCATACAAGCCCTTACAAAGAGATCTTGCTTTGACAGGGAGGGCTTCAAAGGAACCCTGCAAACCAGAGTGACCATGTGTCACCATGTCTGACTCGCTCCTGAGTTGCTCAAGCTCAGGCCAGCAGCAGTTTGTTACCTGGGTCAGTACCACACATCTCACCAGAAAATACAGCTTTGTAAAATTGAAAGAAAGGACACTGTAACAGGTTCTGAAGGTGAGGTGGAGGAAGAGTTAGTTAGCCACTGTTCCCTGCTCACCTCCCAGACAGGTTCCTTCCAACACTCTCTCATGGCATGGGTTGGCACCATGAGTATACAGGAGCCATGGCATGGGAGAAAGTCATGCAGGTGACCAGAAGAAGGACAGAGAGGGGCTAGTGCCTTCTTAACTACACTTGCTGTCTGTCATAACATATCAGAGACAAAGATGCCCAGCCAGGCTCCACCTTGCTGGAGGGAAGTTTAGGTCAGCAGGATTCCACAAGCTCTGCTGGCAGCAGCAAAGTCCTCCACCTTGGGAGAGAGGCCTGAAAACCATGGCCAGTTCCCTTCCACTGCAGTCAATGCAATTAAAGCTCATTTCTGGATAGGGAAAAAACAGTCTCCTCATGCAGAAGGCACCAGGCCTCTGAGACGTGGAGAGCATTACACCACAGAGCATGGGCCAGCAAAGGACACCCGCTCAGCCACGCTGCGGGTGGACGGTGAGGAGAAGACGGGCAAAGGCAAGAAGCTGTGATGCCAACCTCTTCTGCAGTATGGCTGACACACACAGGACTGACAGATCAGCCACTTGTAACTTCTAAATAGAAGTGAACTCACATGCTGCAGCAAGAGGAGAGCATCATGCCAAAAAGCCTGGCATTTAAATGAAAATGAAGACATCTTTCAGGCAGGGATACACAGAAGACCCAAAGTACCATAATCAAAATACTCCAGGCCCAAATGAACTGTTAAGATCACAATACATTGGATTTTGTCATTTACCAGGGTCCAAAAGAATGTGTATTTTTATCCCTTCAGGCGTTCAGTGGGAATACTGAGGAACAATGCCAGGCACGGATGACTGAATAACTGGATGAAAGAATGGATTTTAGCATATAGAGCTGAATTCTACAAAAGATACTCAAGTAAATGAAAATACCAGCACATAATGCAGCTACCCTAAATGCTTCCAGCAAAGCAGTTACTTGCACAGGAATTGTCTATGTACTATGCCTTAGTACAAGCATAGTGTTATTTGCAATTTTACCTATAACTTGTATGTCTCACAGTTTCACATGACTCCCTACTGGCTTCCCACTACCAAATGACTCTAGGCAAAGCACTTTATGCAACTCTGCTGCTTACTCCAGGTTTTATCCAAGAAAATGCACCACTTATTGCAGTGGGAATCTAGTTAAGAGGACATTACAGAAGGAGAAAAGGTTATAAATAAAGCAACTACTATTACTGGATTGATAGAAAAAGAATCATAGAATGGTTTAGGTTGGGAGGAACCTTAAACATCATCTAGTTCCAACACCCCTGCCATGGGCAGGAACACCTCCTACTAGATCATGCTGCCCAAAGCCCAATCCAACCTGGTCTTGAACACCTCCAGTGATGGAGCATCCACAGCTTCTCTGGGCGACCTGTTCTCACCACACTCATAATGAAGAACTTCTTCCTTACATTCCATGTAAATCCACACTCTTCCAGTTTGAGCCTATTACCCCTTGTCCTATCACTACAAGCCCTTGTAAAACCTCTCTCCCCAGCTTTCCTGTAGGCTCCCTTCAGACACTGGAAGGCCACAATAAGGTCTCCTCAGAGCATTCTCTTCTCCAGGCTGAATAACCCCAGCTCTCTCAGCCTGTCCTCCCAGGAGAGGTATTCCAGTCCTCAAATAACCCTCAGAAAGTCAACAAATTTATTTTTTTCAACTTTAACGACTCTACCAGTCCTTTTCTTCTGGATCAAAAATTCAGAAAAGTTTAAAATTAATATTAACCAGTGCTTCTTGTCCACACAGGTATCTGTGTACTTCCTTGTGAAACCTTCTCAATCAGAACTGGACAATGATCATGTCTAGTGACAATGTTTGCCTTGGAGCACTGGGGTGGGAAAAAGATTCCAGCTTTTTTTTTCCCATGGTGACTCGAGCATGCACAAAGTAATTTAAGTGGCAAAGGTTACTGAGAGACTTCCAATATCTTGCTGAACAATTAAGTGAAGAAGAGACACTTCAAAGGCATGACTTCTTAAGGATGGCAGTCACAGAGAACGGTTTGATCAGAGATCAATGAGCATCTGCCACGTTACATGTCTTCCTTCCGAGTCGCAAGTTAGAGCATAAAAATGTGTGTTGGCAGAGTCTGAACAGTGTGAAGCACACGGTGCTCCTCAGCAATACAAGACTCCATCTGCACACACCACTGCAGGACTGGACCTGCAGTTATGATCACACTTTGGAAAAGACTACTCAGACCCAAGTCAGAGACAGCTCTCTGCACTCCAGTACATTCTAGCTATGTTGTTTTATGACAGTTGATTACATGAAAAATCAAACATATTTTTAATGTATTTCAGGAGGATCTGTGCTCTTCAGTCAAACCAGCCACCATTTATTCTGTCAGATTCTAATGCCTCATAAATTACAGTATTTTTAAATACTTGCCAATTAACTCTCTTGTTATCACCTTCAAATTGTTTCCTGTGACCAGTCTGAACAGCAGGTAATTCTCCATTTCAGACATAATACCAGGGTCTGAAGTTCCACAATTTTGCCACTTTTGAAAAGATAGAACAGTCCCACTGTGACTAAGGACTGCAAAATCATGCTCCATGTAATTGAATCTAAAGATCTGACAACACTGACCTTATCAAGAAATGAAACCTTTGGCTGAGGTTCAAACCATGCACGAGAAATAAGCTCTTGCTGGTTGTTTGTAAACGTCATATAAAAATGTACTTATTCATTATTAACAATCTGTAAAGTGAACACACTGCAGGTCTCAAACTGCTGCCAAGAAAAGTATTACTCAGTATGATCATTTCATTTACATCTAATTCTTGTTTTAATTTTGGCAGCACACCTGAGCATCCCTTCTCATGATTTTAAGAGGGTTACCCTAACGAGATAAACATTCAGACCGCACATAAAAAGTGAGGACAGAAGCAATACTAGGGGTGAGATTTTGTAAAAGCCCTCAGTGCTGCTGGCCTCAGTGACAGCCCTACTTTAGTACTAGATGTACAGGAAAAAAAAAAAAAAAAAGGATCCATTGATCTCTCACTTTTGTCATGATAAGGCCAGTGGTGACAACACATGACCTGTACTGGTGAGCCATCTCCTTTAGGATAGAATAGAATAGAAGGCTCCAAGAAAGATCCTGGGTAATATCAGCACTAAGCTTTCAAGAACATCACAGTCACCTCAAAAATCTGAAAGTTTCACAAAAATTCAGGAAGCATCTATTGTAATAACTGCAACTGTCTGCAGCAGAATGCCATTTTATAAAGAGGCACGAAAATCTACGGGGACTTTAAGACGAAAGCTTTCCATACCTTTCTTGCTCCTGCATACAGCTGTCAGGATGCGGCTTCCAGGCCCACATCTTCCATGGTCAGTCACACATAATCCTTCTGAAACGATCCACTCGTAACACACTGGGTCTTCACAAGGAATAGATTCAATTAAATGTGGACAAGCTGCCAGGGTGCCTACCGCATCCACAATCACTTGCCTCTGTCTCATTCTAAAGCCTGGAAAAAGAGACACTGAATTAACTGGACAAACGAAAAAAATATTTATACCAATTTATATCTAGTTGCAAGAGAACTATATAGGGCATCTGGAACTGAGGGACATAAACAGGAGTACCACACGTACAAACTGAATCGATTGGGGTGGTACTCGGCTGGATGTACCCACAGCCCGGGCACACAACATCTAACAGTGTGTAAAAAATTCCAACCACCCACATTTTTTTCACATTTCTTTTTCCCTTTCATCAACATTAGACAGAAATATACATGTCCAAATACAGAAATTTGCCACTGATGCATATAAGATAAAAGAGAGAAACAGTTAAGGAACTGAGAATACAACGGACATCTATATTCTGCCTGGGAATCCACTAATGAAAAGACTTGTTTTGAGATACAGCAGAGCAGTTTACTAAGAAATTAGTATTCTGCTTTATGAAGGTGTAAGGATTTCTGATACATAATGCATATCAGACCTCTCTGAAATGACATTCTACTAAATTGGAAGATTCAAAGGGAAAGTGAAAGAAAAAGGTTACAAAACTAATGAAAGAATTGATTACATAAACTAACTTCTTCTGAATAAAAGTCGTGTTGCTATATAAAATGCAGAACTAATTCGCAAGTATCATTCAACGTTTTGTTACGTAAATGGCACAGAATTTTAAGAAAGGCAGGAAAAAAAAATGTATGGTGGTCTCTCCTACAACAGTCTCAGACAAGATGCAAATACACAGCCTCAGTGGAGACCACATGGAAATGCCCTAGGCACAAAACAGAAAATTAAAACTAAAACATCACAGAGAATGTAACAGACCAGACTTCCACTGTTCTCAAACAAGCAAAAAGAAATCATTCAAAACTATTTAAAAATGAAATGCCTTTGCAAACCTTTGTATTTAACCATGTATTTTTTATTGCTTCTTTTTTAATTTGAAAGATTCTGACCAGCTCAAATCACCTCAAAAAACATATGTCATTATCAGAAAAGTGTAAATTCCAAACAGTAATACTGATTCTCTGGCATGAACTCCAACAGTCACCTTCTCAACTTAGAGCCACAGGAAAGGCTCTGCGGTGAATCTCAAAGTCTTGCAGCAACAGACATGTACACTAGTCAGTTCAGATCCAGGGGGGGTTAAATTATATTTGCATACTCTTCCTCCAGGAATTTAAACCAAACCCAAACCAATCTGTCAGGTCAGTCTAACTCCACGGTGGAAGGGCTGTGGGATACACATTAGTCCTGATCCTTCCAACCTCACCTAAGCATTGTCCCCGAATCCAGGTATGCAGTGGGACTTCCAGAGGGGATCAGAGAGGGACAGCCTGGCTCTGTGGAAGCCAGCAGATGCCATCCCAAGAAATCCTCCTTTTCTACAAGTCCACTGCAAGATAAAAGGATCTGAACCAGGCTGAATTTTTTTTATTTATATTTTCTTCTCCCAAGAATAACTGCAAATAGCTTTTTAAAGGTCATATTCCACTCCTGTATGTACATCTAAGAGCTTCATCCTATGCTAGGTTAATTTTTTAAAAAACAACCCAAATTAGGCTCCTGATGCAGAATTTTAGACCACTGCTTTTGCAACTGTATGAGAACATTCCATTACCCGCTCTAGATGCCCCAGTGGTGCAAAAGCAATATATAAGAGCAGGCATCACCTCTTCTTCCATGGTGTTCTTCCTGGCAGTTCTCAGGAAGGCAGGGGCCCCACGCCGACCAGGAGGACACCACGCACTCGGACGGGCATGGCACGTTGCATAGCTGGGAAGGGGAGGGAGCAGGACCTGGGCAGAGCTTCCCATCAACTGGTCTAGTAACTAAAAGGAAAAAAAGGAAAGGAAAAAAGAAAACCAGGGCTGTAACTTTGCCGTGACCAACACACAGCACTCCAGAGTTTACTGCTGGCCTTAGTTTTCCAGAATGCATCAAAATCCAGTGCTGGTTTAGGGTCTTATCTCTCTGTGCAAAAAGTTAATCCTGTGTTCAGCAAGGCACTTAAAGTTTTATCTAAATCATCCATATTCAGCAGGCCAATTAAGAGTATGCTTAATGGTAAACGGGTGCTTTAAAACTAAATTTAATGCTGATTTTCTACAATGCTGGAGTAATAAACTGGGATCTAATCTCCTGCATTTATGACCAACAAGAACTTTTTACACACTACTGAAGAGAAAGATGAACAAGAAGGAAATCCAAAAAGCTCATGCTGCAGCTGGGACCCAGGCAGAGAAAGCCTGAGCAAGGGGGAATCTCCCCATACCCATCACCTTCAGGGGAGCTGCCACCCCTACATTACAGATGCAAGATACAGAACTTTGAACTTTCTTCATTTCAATAAAATGGAGCAGAGCTCTCAGTTTCTTCTACACAGACATACGCAGAGAGTGTCTTGGCTGCTTGGGAGCAGAGATACTTCCTTGAGTTGCCTGCACAGATCTCCAAACCTCTTCATCCCCGAGATGAGCCGAGCCCAGACTCAAAGTACCGGTTTAGTTGATACTGACAATAAATTTGGAAAGTTGATTCCCTTTGTATTTTTGATTCTCATAAGAGATTTCTAGTTTCAATTAATTTCTCTTGCTTTTTTATTCGGGGCAAAAGGAGGAAGGAAAAGAAGGGGAAAGACTCTTAAATCTGTCTTCTGACTCATTATATGATATTGCGTTTTAATTACATTATAGGCTGAATTTGGCTGCCTCTTTAGATAAATCAATATCAAAGCAGTTTTTCAAAAGGCAAAGGCTTGTTTGAGTTTACTCTGCCATGGTATTACCAAGACTTCATTAATTTTTACAGCTACTGAGTTTGCTTTATCCTCATTTTTATTTTTAATGTTTATTTTTCTTTGCTTCCATGCATGGAATTGACTTGAAAAGAGTTTATAAAAATATGCCAAATATAATACATGAGCAATCTTTTCTTTTTCTCATATTTTAACATTTTCTTTAAAATGAATCATTTGAAGGAAAACACTTTTTTTATTTTTTAAACACAAGACTTGAGTGCTCAAAATCCCAATAAATTTTGATTTGCAGATCTTGAAGCTGAGACTTCAGACCAATATCAGTGCTTATGATTCCAGCTCATCAGAATAACAGGATTAAACAGCAGATGGGATTTAATTCTAAAATGAAAGATGGTATGTTAGTAAAAAACACCATTTTCTGAATGATTTCTGAGACACTGCAAGGCCTTTGACATGTTCATTTAAAGATTACAACAAGGTGACATAAATCCAATTCACCTGAATGTTAACATAAACAGACCTCTTCTAGAGACCTTGCAAGTGAAGTGACAGACACAACGAGATAGATAGTAGAGTTTTAAGGATAACAGTATTCATTTTACCAAGAAGTCTCATGCATGGCTTAACCTGCCTTTCAGCATCAAGCTTTGCAAAACTGTATCATTTTTTGAGAGTTCTCTTGAAGAAATGAAAGGAAATAAAATTGAGTGCAGATGGTCAATCCAAGGAATAAAGTCCACACCTACTCTTCTCTAACTCAAGGCCTCCTCGTTAGCAATGGCTCTTTCCTCCTCACTGATCTTTAGATGTTTTCTCTATTGTCATTTAACTATTTTAGTGTGGAAGCCACTAGAAAAAGATGGTTGGTTCTCCTGGCTCTTGATTTCAAGGAGCAAAGGGGCAGGTTTTTCTTGGTAAGCTGAGCCTACCATCCATCCCAGACACATGGAAGACTCCTTCCCATTCTGGAGGATATCCCTGCCTTCCTCTCCCTGCCAACCACCTTCCTGGACCTCTTCCTCCCTCGGGATGATGTCCTGTTTAATTCTAGCACTGGGAGCTCTTTTCCCAGGACCAACGTCCTGTTTGTCATTAGAATAAGACTGCTTCTTTACTCACTTCCTTAAGCAATTCTATGCACACTGTAACATGTAAATCAGAAAACACACAGACTATTCAAAATCAAATACCCAAATACATCCTAGGTCTGTGCCAGTTTGTACTCATGCTACACTTACTAAAATCCTCCTGTGAAAGTCTTCAGGAATAAGACAAGAACAAAAAGAAATAAACTGCATTAATAAATGCATATAAGAATCCCATCCTCTTCCAAAACCAGACAGGTATAAAGAGCCACAATGTCCACCACGATAGCCAGAGTGACTGGATGGACCAGCAGGGTCCTCTATAGTAGTTTCACCCCTTCTTCAGCCATTTGATTGACAGCACTGATTTCTATGATTTTTATTTAAAAGCTTTATGTGATTTTCTATTGTTATTATTTCTTTTTTTTTCTTTTTAAATGAACTATAAGGTGTGTTTTACCTGTGAGACTTTTAAATGCCAAAATTCTTACATAACGTAGCCCCCTAAAAATGCACAGATAGCCTGGCTGGGGATGCCCTATTCAGGAAAAAAACCTCATGTTATGCCTATGATAAATGAGCACAGCTGCTAGGACTGTCTTTACATACCAGAGAGCCTTCTGATTTTGCTCAGTAACTGACTCTGACATGGCACTTTCCTACCTTCCTATAGAAAAAATGTGGGGTTTCGTGTAATTATTTTCCTTGGAAAAATATTAGCCACTTTTTGGGGGAAAGGCAGAAGCCAGGGAAGAAAGGAGTGATAGGGGGAGGCAACATCTCTGATTCCAGCAGCAGGTTATTTATTATGGTTGTTCGTACCTTTTAAAATCCTGTGTTCTTCCCAATCTATAGAACAAACTTGAAAAAGCAATCAAGTACTAATCTTGGAGCCTCCAAAACATTGCACATTTCTATAGCTGTTATATTGAATCTATCCTTTATAAATGTGACTACAGCTGTTCCCAGCACCAATGTCTGCCTCAAGTTTGAATTTTACTATTTGCTGTTATTTTCAGGTTATTGCTACCAGCAGGAGATAATAAATTGGGTTCTAAAGTATCTTGTTTCCCTATATATTTTTACTGAGGTAGTGGTTTGGAGGAAGAGTAGAAGAGGAAATCAGCTCAGTTATGATTATTTTGATAATACAATTTTAAGTGAATAAATAATCTATGAATGCAGTCATATGGACACATACTTGCAGGCACACACACCAATGCTAAGTTAAAAAACAGCGACAACCAGGCAGAGGAAGAAGCATACAGGATGGCATTTTGGTTGCACTGATTCCTTTCAAATTTAGTTTTTCAGCACCTCAGGAGATAAGTAACAGTTTGTTTCCTGGCCCTTAACATCATTTCCCTTTTACAGTGAAACAATAAGTATTACTGATATTAACACCTAAACAAGACATTTCTAAGTATCACTAACATATCTGGAATTCACACAAAGAGAATCAGGACTGTCTCTCATATACTGCTGCAGCCATGTTTTAGCTAATACTTCTCAAGGCAAGAAATCCAGATGTTTACCACACCTTTTGGCAAAACTAAGCCGAATTAACGACTGCCAGGGTACAAGAAAAAGATGGTTTATCTTTGTGAAAGTTCCTCCTGCCTTTGCCAGGACTTGTAAACCAAAGACACATGGATCAATAAAAAGGGAAATTACTTGAGCAAATCACAAAGGAATGAGTTGTGTTATAAAAACACCTACCGATGTAAAACATAATAAGGATAAACCAGCACAACATTTGCAAGTAATTTCTCTAACCTGAAAGACTTGTTTTTATAGCAAAAACAAAAGATTAGACAAAGGAGAAGCAGTGAATGTAATTTAACTAGCCTGGAAACGGCACCAACCCAAATCCAGTTCATCTTTCCATTCAAGAAGCCTAATGCACCCCATGCCTGATGGAAAGGGTTCCTTTATGCTTTTAAGAAGAATCAATCAGTTTTGAAGCCACAAAGTACAAAGTTGAAGTCCTATTTTCAATTAAAATCTATTTAACAGACAAGAAACAAAGTATGAATAGAAGGCTAATCACAGCATGAAAGAGGGTTAATAGCAGATTGCCAAGAGCAACAACGGTTTAATGCATTTCAGAACAATAAAGATCCTGGCAATACTACTGAAGTGGCACAGACTATTAGCCCTCCATGGAATAAAAAGTTTCCCTGTGTCCATATCCTCTGCTGTACGGCAGGATCCTGATCCCGACTAGGATATTGTGTTGTTTCACTACAGCTGACTTTGTAGAGATTATCAACAGAAACTGCAGATCTGGCAAAAATTCTGAGTGAACATGGGACTTCCCACCAGCAGTCACATGACTGAGCCGACCAGAGGTGACAAGTCATCAAAACTGTCCAGGAAAAACAGTGGAGGCAACAGGACTGCCAGTGAAGGCAATGACAGGAATTAAAAAGGGACTCTCCAGGATGTTTGAGCCTTGCTTGTTGCTTGCAGGTTACTGGGACAGACTGCCAGGGAGAGAAGCCACAAAGAAAACAGGGAAGAAAACCCAAATGTGGGGATATACTTCAGGAGAGCCCCGTGAGAGTGCAAACTTTGCCTGTCAGTTAAGTTCTGCACTAAGGAGCAGAGGGTCCTGTGAATGCCACGTCACTGCAGCCGTCCTGGCACCATGAGAAATGCATCACTGTGGACGTGTCTGTGGTCCTGGGACGTGGTACAGGTGGCCCAGAGCTAAGCCAGCTCACTCATGGCATGGCCATGCCAGCTCAGATCCTGAAAGCAGCAGGGCTGCTCCACGCAAAGCTGGCCCAAGTTCACAAGCTTTATTTATCTCAAGTGTCTCCTGTTCCAGGACCAGACCAGCCACCATTGGCTTTGTTATCTCTCCCCAGTGTCACAGTTTGTGGTACAGCCTTGTACTTACAAATCCTTTTATTTTTCATCTGACTCAACATTATAGTTTGAACACAATGCAGGTCCCCATCCTCATAAGAACAATGAGAGA